TTATGAGGACGAAAGATTAAGGACTTTTAGAGAAGTAGAATAAGTCGAGGAGCATGTACGAAACGATATGACGCAAAAAATGAGATAAAAAGTACGCGGAGTCATCCTTCACTCTCACTGGATTATTATATGACGTCACATGTTAATATATCATACAGCAACGAAAATACATATTTTAGGTCTCTATATTATGTTTAAATTTACTGTACCTTTACAACTGCATGTGTTAAAGTCGAGTGGAGACCGGCTGGGATCTGGGTTAATGCGTGTCTTAACACCTCGACAACACCAGTCAGAGTTTAGGGTTTGAGGTTTTCACGGTGTTGTGTCCGAAGATAGCTGTCTTCTGGTAAGAGTTGACTCATCGCCCTGATGATGGAGGCAGCAAGGACCTGTGAAACGTCGGTAATATTCTGCTGGACTACACGGTGCTGCAACCCAGAAGACAGCTGTATATGACAGGTTACGGTGTTCTTTCCTAGTTAATTATAAATAGGTCTAATTGTCTCGAAACAGACCGTCGTGTATGTTTAGCCACAGTGAATAAGCTTAACTGATACGCCGTTTACTGGTTTTGAGTCACAGCGTTCTTTCTGTCGAGGCTATCCGGCCTTCGGTCGATTGGAAATGGTCTCACACTAGAGCCAAGTAGTTATGATGTTCGCTGCTGATCTAGTAGTAGCGCCGTTGGGACCGCACACTATAGAAGCAGTCGCATTTGTAATCCTTAAACTAGAAATAGGCCTATACCACGTCGTGGCGTCTCGAGAGCTTAGAGCTTACGTCACTGTTTCTCGCTATTAGCTGCAGCATCACTCCGGAGCATCAAAGTTGGATTTATGGCTCCACGTGTTAGCGCCGACTAATACTTGTCGGGTACAGACTACTGCTTTATTGCGTGTTTGATCTGTTTTCCTGCACAGCAAATGACGACATTCCCGTGAATATAAACTACAGTCTTGCTGTAGGTTGAAAGTAAAGGTTCATCAAATTTATGCAGTGGAGTGGAATTGTACTGGAATGCCTAAATACACCAACTATGCGAATTAGTTTAGTTATGGTTGCAACAAATATGTGGACAAACCTGATTACCTGGTCAAGCCTGAAGAATTAAACAAACGTATCTTACAATACAATTAATACGGGGGCAGAGGATTTTTCCTCTAGCCTCTGCATCCAGACCAGCTCCGGGACCTATACAATGTTTACTGAGGTCAGGCGGCCGAAACGTGACTCTGACCACTTACACCCACCTACTGCCAATGTTAAGAAAGATTAGGACCTATGCCCCCTCTCTCCCAAGCGCCTACATTGCCTATAGTGGGACAGCTTTAGTTTACTGTAGTAATAAAATTAATTTATTAATCGAAATACATATACAAATTCTTGCAATTCACTAATACCGATAGTAACTTAATACTAATAGACTAATGTTAATAATTGCATTAGGCCTAATAAAAATACATGTAGAGGTAGCGCAGCCTAGCGGCTCGATCACTGTAATCGTGACGGGTTTGAATACCGCTCGGGGACCTCCCGAATGTCTAAGGATTTGTTGTTTTGCGTGCATTTCTTATTTCTCATGCATGCTACTTGTCTCGCCCATCTCTGTCTTCTCCTCGATTTGGTAGCACTAATAACATTTGGTAGACCTTACAAGTTATGAAGTTTTTAATTATTAATCTCCATTATTCCGCTACTCTTAGATCCAAATTCTTTCCTCAGGTCTATGTTTTCAAACATCTTAATAGATCGTGGGATCAAGTTTCACCATATAGAAAAAAAACAACAAGTAAATTTTAGAATTCATATGTTTTAATCGCAGAACTTTTTCCAAGTCTGTCATGGTTTAAAATTAGTCTTTTATTTAATTTAGATTTTTCTTTTCGTTCTTAAGTGCTTGAGTTTCAAACGACTTCTGTAGGCCAAAATGCCATCCACTGAGATTTGTAATTATTTCGGGATATGGGATTTTTACACCCTACCTGTGATTAAACTTAGATATAGCTGCAAGTATTTTATCTCAGAGATCATGCCGTAACTGTTAAATCTGTGGTAGGAATAAAACTCTTTAAAACAAGCATTAAAACAAAAACGTTCCTGTACTTTACATAAAACTTCTAGCATTATTAACTGGTGGGTTGAATTATGTAGGCTATATTCTGTAGCTTAATCAGGCTTTCTCATTTTGCAAAGTGCAACTTAACTCGGTAAATTAAAACACAGCTAAGATTTTAAAGAAATTTCGCTTTTACTTCCTTCTTTTTGTGAACATTTAATAATGTACAGTGAAATGTTTCATTAGGCTCTACAAAAGTAATAGCAGAGTTCTTGTTAAGAGCAAGTGGTATCTAGCTGATGTCGTTCCGTTTTTAATTAGCAGGGGTTTGAATTGCTCCCTAAATCACGCGGGAACATTAATACCCATATTACCTCAGATTCAAGATCCATAGTCAGTCCAACAGGGTTACTAGCAAGTATCACGTCTACTCCCTGTCGACGCACATCTGAAGGGATATAGATTCATGAATAGGTTCATCATTTGAAGATGGCTCTCTTCTTGGTTGTCACGCCGTCTAGTCTGGGGGATCGCCGTGAATGTGAAGACAGTAAGTACTTCTGAAACGTCGGTAATCTACCAAACTGCACCGTGCAATGATCTTCATACTCGCTGTCTTTAGAAAATGAAATCTAACAGGTTAATAATTTGTGCTGCTGACCTAATATTATTGACGTGGTTTAATCAGTTAGGATGAGATGGGCAGGATGTACAGAAGGCATGGGGGAAATGAGCAATGTGAATTCTATTCGAATAACCTTAGTTTTTAAGACCACATGTCTGAACTGATTGTGAATGGTAGGATGATGTTAATGTTGATGTAAGGTAAATAATGTGTAGAGATGTAGAATGGATTCAGCTTGCTTAGGATAAGGTCCAGTAGTGACTTTTATGAATACTGTTGTGAATCTCCGGGCGGCGTAAAATCAGGGGTTTATCGTTCGGGCTTGGTACCTATCACTTTCTCAAGGGAGACGTTGCGGTAACCAGTCTCATACACTTTAATACCACTAGCATTTTTTTAAAATCCAGCGTACAAATTAGAATGTCGTTTCGACAATACACCAGTTGTCGTCATGAATCAAAATAATTCTCGTCAATACCGAATTGTGATTTCTGATATTAAAACAATCTGTTTTATATGACACGTTGACTATAAGGCGAACTAAAGGGAGAGGCGAGAAGGGATTTAGCTATATTATAAACACCCAGTTCTACCTTTCGCGAATCTTGGTTCTGCAGGCGATGGGAACAGCTTGCGTCCTGACTCCTGTCTGCCGTCGTCTTAACGGGAAAATTAAAGGCCTCTTACTTGATATAGTATACTTTTCGTGGCCGGGATTTTTATAATGGCACCCCGGTTTTAACACAGAGACAATTGCGCGAGGTGTAGGGACGGAGACAGCGAGTTACGCCCGAAAAGTGGATAACTAATTGTCATAATTTATAATAAGTAACTATGTGATTATCCATGCAAATAAGAAATGAAGTATATAATTAACGAATCAAGTAACTTACTATGTAACTGTGCACAGGCTAACAAATTAGCAATGTAACTAACGAAGTAAACAAGTAAGTATCTACGACAAGTGACTGACTACTGGATGGATATTCGCCACCGCTTTGTCCAGCAGGCTGTGGGGTCTCTTCTGTCTCCCGTCCTACAGGTCCTTCTGCGTAAATACTACCAGTAATTTCAATGCACTGCCGAGTCTAATACACTTTCGTGGCTTGGTACTTAGGCTCACGACAACTGTACCTTGTACTAAATAGGCCTAAATTCGACTAGTTATTTAATAAAATAATTGGCGATGAAAATAATTATTGCAGATGAAAGTGTACAAGCAAGAACAGAGGTCACAATTTCTTTTTCTAGAGCATCTTTGTTTTGTTTCGTCTTCTCTTTCTTGTTTCTGTCCTTTGTCTTGGTGAATCGTGGGATATGTTTCGGCTGGCAAGGGAGTGTTATGAGTGCTACACTACAGCAGCCCGGAGCCAGAGGCGGGGTGGGGTAATGTGCAGTCTGGCGGGAGGGGCGCAATGTGGAACTAGTAATTATAACTTTGCTCTATATGCACTAGATATTCTGTCACTCAATTCCAGGACTCCCCCCCCCTCGACTCCCAGGTGACTCCACCCCCTACTTTCAATATGACCTCCCCTTCTCTCCCTTCCCTTGTGTTTTCTCCCACTCACCTGCCAACCTTATATAATGTATAGCACTATTCCCAGTGTTTACTGACATCTGTCGTTGGTTTCTGCAAGCTCGTTTTGTGAATTTACAGTCACAAATTTATAGTGTGAACTTTATTAGGTATGAAACAAATGTTTTTAGACGAGTTGAGCACAGTCTACATAGTTTCAGCGAATTTCCAATTTAATATTATGCTGCCCTAGGTATTCCATGTGGTCTCTTGCCATTAGACTTTGCGACTAAAGTTTTAAACGCATTTCTCATCTCTTCGTGCCGGTGGTGTAAAGTTAAATTGGACAGTGTTTTGGAGAAATTAGAAATGTATACAGAATTTCATAAACAAAACCTCAATGACGAGATGATTTGGGAGATATTAAGATATAATCTGTATTGGTGTCTGATTGCCATGATGCATGTTTGATCGCGGTAATACAGACCTAAAAGTTTTTAGTAGTGATACTAAATGTCAGAATCTTAAATTCATTAAGTCTGTTGCCCTGAGTTAGCCTTTAGACGTGCTTATAGTATGGGTGACGAAATCAAAATAACGTAGTATGTAGCACGACTGATATTTTGGGTCTTTTTTGAAGTTGAAAAGAATGAGAAAGGGATAGGGAATAACGGGGAGTTGGACATATGAAAGGATGTACAGGAGAGGAAGAAATTAGTTAAGGAACGAAGGTGTGCGAGAAATCATTCTCCATTGCATTTCCACTAGTTTTAATATACTTTAGCAGAAGACTATGAGCCGGGATAGCTCAGTCAGTATAGTGACTAGCTACGGGCTGGACGGCCGGGGTTCGATCCCCGACGGGGGCAGAGGATTTTTCCTCTAGCCTCTGCGTCCAGACCGGCTCTGGGGCCCACCCAGCCTCCTCTACAATGGGTACCGGGGTCCTTTCCCGGGGGTAAAGCCGGCCGGGGCGTGATGCTGACCACTCACCCCCATCTAGTGCCGAGGTCAAGGAAGAGAGGAGCTATACCTCCACTCACCCCAAACGCCTACATGGCGTATAGTGGGACAAACTTTACTTTACTTTACTTTACTTAGCAGAAGACTATGAAAATTCTGAATGGATTTAGCTGTACCGAATAGTGAAATTTTGTTTCTTTATTTTATACTCCACCTACAGCCTACATAACAGCAGGGATTTTTTTTTATCATCCAAGTAACTACAATCTACCGAAGGAGAACGCTGAACTGTGGAGAAACAGAAGGTATTTGGAAGCTGTGTAGTCATTGAGTATTTCCACTCTGCTTTTACAGGCTCTGTTCTTTCTTCCCATTTGACTGTGACGTCAATATGACAACATCCATTTACAGAGCTGTCAGAGTTTATGTCTAGTCGTTAAGTACAACAGGCCCGGTTAATATTCACAGCTGGGTGTGGTTCACAATAAACGCGCGTTTCATTTCAATGCATCGCGACATCTCCAGGGACTTACCAGTCAATCAAGTTCAGCCGTCTCACGTTCCTGCCGACTGTCACACCAGTTCGACTTCTTACTCGTTTGGGTCCATATCGGGAGCCTAACTTACGACAGCTTTCCCCAGCTTCACAGGATCTGAAACAACCTTATGCATAGGGCATAAATCAAATCTGACCTCAGAGTTGCCCTACCAGGGTCAAATCACGCATCCAGACCGGCTCTGGGGCCCACCCATCCTCCTGTCCAATGTGTACCGGGGGGGGGTCTTTTCCCAGGGGTAAAGCGCGGCCGGAGCGTGACGCTGACCACTCACCAGCACTTAGTGCTAACATTAAGAACGAATAGGAGTTAGACATCTTCTGCCCCCAAGCGCCTCCGTGGTGTGTAGCAGGGCAGCTTTATTGTTACATTGACTACAAAGAATCATAACGATTTCTTTTTGGCACTAAGTTTTTATCGCATTGAAATCTGATTCAAGTAAAGGCTGTTTCTCAATCAGTTCTATGGTTTACGTGTTCAATGTTGTTGTAAAATGAGCTATTTGTATTAGGAACATCATTAGATATTATTTGAGGTATTTGAGTGCTATACTGGATCCACAATCAAAGGAATTTTTACTACAATGTTTACCCAAAACCTCCAGTTCAAAATTTGATCGTAATACTTAGAGTATTTTCTGAAGTGAAACGTCCCGTGGGAGTGACACAAGCCCTCTGTTAGATCTGTGCCATAGTTTAGAAACCGCGTAAAACTAAACACGAAGGTGTCCTAGCTGCTGGAACGCTGGATGAGGTCATAGACACATGGAAGAGAGAAGCTCATCTTCCGAAAAAAATGTGTTCGTATTCATTGGAATTTATTTTATTTAATCAAGGATCAGGCCTGATTACCTGTTCCGTCTTCTTTAGATCGGTTTATGTACTTGCTGGTTTTCTACTGAAAGTATATATTTTTTCGTGGATAGTAATACAGAGCTGTCCTTGAGATGCGATTCAAAATATTTCAGCCATTTGATTGTGTAGGCCTACCCTTAAATTCTGTCTACAGCTGTGACATCGTTAATCTGCAGTTCCTCAGTGGTTTTAGTCTCTAGGTGTAATCTATGGCATTAATCTCTCATATCTGATACCCTAAGTAATGGCTATTTTTTTTTATTATTTGATTCTGTATGACTGTTTCTGTTCTATATTTGTCCAACGGTGAAGTCGTTTGCTTTTGTTTTATTTGTTGAAATATTAAAGACCATAATATCTTGTTATGGCAAATGTGTCTGAAAAATTAACAAGAGCGGAACGATGCACTCCAGTGGAGTACATATTTTTCTCAAATTCTTTCTTTTCTCACTGGACTTCGTTTCCTTTCATTGTA